CTTGCCGTACTCCTCGCTGTACGCAGAATTTATTTGTTTCTTGTTCAGATAGTCTTACGCTAGCTGTGTCATTTTGGTAGATATATTTGATTATGTTAGTGTAGCAATGGTCTATTCGGCATTCTGTCAATGCTTTTAATATTTTCTGACTGATGGCTTATGGTATCGAATGCTTTCTCGTAGTCGATAAATATCAGTGATGTATGTATTCTGAAGACCAAGAGGAAGATCTCCAATACGATGGGTGGACCAAATGAAGAGTTTGGTGGGAAAATCCCTACATGAAGCCGTCCATATGGCACAAGATCGCAGTCAATGGAGACAGCAGACTAATAATATTTAGGGTGTCACTACGCCCTGACAAGGGCTAAAGGATTGAGGAGGAGGATGTATTCTGCAGACTTCTCTATCAGGTTCTTTATCACTAGTAGTGGTCATTAGTGCTGTATCTCGATCTAAATCCAACTTGTTCTCTAGGCTGATAGAAGTCTAACTTAGCGTCAAGTCTTTTTTTGGTAATTTTTGTGAAAAGTTTATATATGTATGAAGCAAACTGATGGGACTGTAGTTTTAGATCTGTTATCTCTCCTTGCTTGTGTAATAAAATAATGACTGCACTGTTCCATTGAGAAGGTGTTTTTCCTTACTAGAAGCGTTCGGTGAAAAGCTTGGCCAAAGCCTGAATAATTTTATTTCCACGCTTCGATCACTACTCCGTCATCGCCAGAGGATTTGTTATTTTTCATTTCTAAAAGTGCCGTTTTGATTTCGTATGGAGTTATTTCTGGCATACATTCTGATCCATGGTTTGTGATTTTGGTCAGGAGCTAATCTTGCCTTTCGTCGGTGCTCTCAAACATTTCGCAATAAAAAGATTCGACAACCTCAAGAATTTTGGTTCTATCACTAGTAATGTATTTTGTGTACATTTTTGTTGTAATTACATAGATGTAGAAGAGGCAGTGAATATGAACTCGGACCATTCTCCAATTATTCTCACACCCCGTGAAACTGCTATCAAAAAAGAAATTCCCCTAGACTTGTTAACAAAAATTCTGACTGGAAAAATTTCCAGATATACCTTGAAGAGAAGATTAACCTCTCAGTTAACCTCTCATTAAGAACCGTTGGTCAACTAGAGGCAGAAGTAGAATTACTCAATAAAAATGTACAACAAGCTGCTTGGAGCAAGAGCACGAATAGTGTCGAAAGAATAAAAGGAAATAACTACCCAAAAGAAATCAAAGAAATGACAACCCAAAAAAGAAAACTGAGACGCAATCTAGAGCATCAGTTGATAAAACTAAATTAAATAATCCCACACAAAAATTAAAAAGAGTAATTAAAAAAATTAAAAACGAATCGGTTAGCATATACCTAAGTGAACTATCAAATGATAGCGCTACTGATTAGTCACTGCGGAAGGCTACCAAACGATTAAAAAGACCAATCTTACAGAATCCACCAATTAGAAATACTAATGGTAGCTGGGCAAGACGCAATATACAAAAGGCCAACAGGTTTGCTGACTACCTAGAAAATACTTTTCAACCAAATGAAGAACAAAAAATAATTAACTGGGAGCTCCCTGATCAAGATGAAATGGAGATTAGCCCTGTAACTCCAGTATCCTGTAAGAAGTATATTTGGAAATAAAAGAAAATATAAATCCAAAGAAAGCTCCTGGATTTGATCTAATTACTGGGGAAGTGTTAAAGCAACTTCCAAGGAAAGCTATAATAAAATTAACACATCTTATAAACGCTTCCTTTAGGCTGAAGTACGTACCAAAGATATGGAAGGTGGCAGAAATTATAACACTAAAACCAGGAAAACCTCCACAAGAAGCTTCTTCACATAGGCCTATTTCACTGTTACCTGTCATGTCTAAATTATACGAAAAATTACTCTCGAAGAGATTAAAACCGATTATAGAGGATAAAAATCTAGTTCCTAATCATAATCCGTTTAGAGCAAGCCACTCAACGATAGATCGGGTGCATAGGATAACAGATATAGTAGAAAATAAAATTCTACTTACCAAAACAATATTCTGAATTACTAGAATCATATATATCCGACAAATACTTTCGAGTTAAATATAAGGAAGCATATTCGAGATTAAGAGAAGTTAAAGCTGGAGTTCCACAAGGAAGTTTCCTGGGGCCAGAGCTATACCTGATCTATACCAGCGATATTCCATCATTAGAACCGAACACAATTGCAGATGACGCATGCATTCTAGTAGTCGGACAAAACCACAAAGATGCAGCAACCATGCTACAGACCTATGTTGAATAAATTAACATCTGGAACAAGCGATGGCGTATCAAATTTAATGAAACAAAATCTGTTCATGTCAATTTTACTAACAAAAGAGAACAATATATCCCAGTTAGGGTATGACAAAATTCCAAGCTACGTTGGAAAGCACATATTAAGAAAAAAAAAGGAGGAATTAGAAATTAAGTTCAGAAAGATGTACTGGTTGATGGGAAAATAATCCACTGTGTCTACTTATAACAAATTGTTATTGTATAAGCAAGTCCTTAAACCGATATGAACATATAGGATACATCCTTGGGGCTGTACAAAAGAAAGTAACATCCAAATTATACAACGATATCAGAATAAATTATTAAGGAACATCGTTAACGCTTCATGGTACTTCAGAAACTGTGATCTTCATCGAGACCTCCAGATGGATACGGTTATCCAGACAATAAGTAAGTTTGCCGAGAGTCATGATCAAAGACTCTACAACCACGTAAATGTCGAGGCCATCAAACTCCTAGACAACGCCAACCAGATAAGAAGAATTACGAGAACGAAGCCGTTTGAGTTAGTGCTATAAGTGAGTGAAAGTGAAAAAGCAGAGCAAAGTGTGGCTAAAGTGTACACGTTAGCTAGTAGTACTATAATGTACTATAATGTATAAAGTGGTGTGGCAAGTAGCACGCGTCTAGCATGTTTCTTAAAATGTAACCAATGAAAACGAATGATTAGAATGAATGACGTCACTGTCATTTTGGTGTACGCTAAATCATTCGTTTTCATTGGTTACATTTTAAGAAACATGCTAGACGCGTGCTACTTGCCACTTGATACGTGCCACGCCACTTTGGTGGGCGCTCTCACTTAGATAAGTTTTTTGTAATATTTTGTATATGGAACGAACTTGCTTATTGATCATAGTGAATGATCAGATAGCTATAATCATAAGATTCCTGTTGCTATTGCCTATGCTGTTCAGATTTCGCCTCATAATTTTTAAACTTTTGTTTTCTTGAATTATTTTAGTCATTTCTCTTGTATTGTTTTCTCTTACGTCTTTTCGGATTGACCGGTGGATATCCACACATTGTTGTGTAGCTGGAACCGTATTTTTCCGTCAGCTGTCTTCTTTTACCTATTTGCTCTTTGATATTATGGCTTAGTTTTTCTTTTACGGGTCAGAACGGTCGGGCAGTACTCCCTTTCCATTTCTTTTAGAGCCTTCGTTATGCCATCCTTAGTCCCTTAGTACCTTAGTACTTTTTCGAAACCCCAATTTCAAATTACCTACTTTTTTGTTACACACTCTGTATAAGTAGACCCTAAAATCATTATTATTATCAATAAGTTTTCATTCAGCATATATTTTTCATGATTTAAGCAATTCTGGAGTAAGATTTCACAAATTCATTAACTGTGTCAAATTAATCCGGATTTTGCGAGGCTTTATGACGTAACACAAACAGCGCCAGGGTTATTATATTAAATCCTTTTTATATCGTCTAATAAACTGCTCTGATATAATAAGACATTTTTGTTGATCTCGTTTAATCTTATATACGTAAACACTTAACGCCTCATCACATCACCAAAGGAAATTAATTTTTCCCATGAACAAAACACGACACACAAGAGAACTTATTAATGTCGCGACGTAATCTCATAATCTTCTCCTTTTTTATTTTCTTGCTTTAATTTAATCTCGGCATTCTTCCATGGAGAGACTCCTTCACTCAATAGACTAAGCAATAAGAAGGCGACGTTTAGCATTTGTAGTCGAACTTTTTAATGCATATATTGTAATGTTTGGCTAGGAATTTCATTATATTTCTCGGTTCGTAGTTCTTTAAATAACACCAGAATTTCATTAGGAACGTTGCATCTTTTTAGAAAAACAAAAAGAAATATTTTGCATATTAAGAAAATAATTTCCCTTTTTCCTAAAAATAAACATTTTCCCTGTGCCTGGTTAATAACTTCTGCAACAAGACATACATTGAGAAATATCCTTAATCGTAAGGCTGATGAATTGGTGAAAGCATTTGAGAATATACATGGTGGGTCAAGTATTAGACAATTATGACAAAAAACTACATAAGATCTAAGAGTTATCATATATTGATAACAATATATGATATAAAAATGATATAGACCATTTAATGTTTACACCGGGAGGCCAAATTTCCTTATTAAATAATAAGTCAATGGAAGTTTTAGATTTTATGCCTATTTTAAATGAGGAACCACTCGTTGTGTCGGCATCTTGAAGGAGGGCATAACATCTAATATATTGCGTAAATTATGCGTAAAAAAGAGTCTAGAAGAGATAATTAACTTATCTATTAAAATAACACCATTAAACATACCGATGCATTTTATACAAAAACTTAGCTAAAGTTAAGATGTAATTTTAAAATGCGTATACGATTTAATTCCCAGCTGAGCATCTGGCCCTCATCGGAACTATGGTCAAGTTAAAATACCACTACGTGAGAGCTGAGAGGATCCAAAAAGTTTAATTTCAAAATCCCTTCCACGTCGTGATAGTTTATTTAACTATGGCTACTAAAACTTTTGGGATTTCCCTAGCTCCCAAGATAGTTAACATTTTATACGTAAAAGCTAAGCATATACTATCTTTAAGTAAAAGATAATAATTCGTTTTTATAAAATCTGTCTTCAAGTACGTTAATTTTTTATCATAGAATACTAAAATGATTACTCACTGATTTCTAACTGCCTCTGTATCCTCCCTTTACATCTTTCTCTGTAGTCTGTCTGGGTTCGATTATATTCAGTCATAACTTCTACAAATTTTCTGGATAACGTCGAATGTTGAGTTTTTCGTATCCTCAGATCCGCCGACGATTTATTATTTTGTTCTTCTTGTTCTATATTTTGTTCTATAACTGTAATGAAGAAAATTAAATATCAGTAAAAATTAGCAGTATTAATTATAACTAATCCAATAGCAAAAATACAAATTGTTTAATAACTGGGGTCAAATATTAATGAATAGTGAGAAACACGCTGTGAAACTTAATAAAAATATATGTAATATTGTTATATTTCAGTTACAATTTTAACCATAGATCTAAATGACAACATCAAAATAAATGTATCGGTAAGGGATGTTATTGCCTGACCATTAAGTGTGCATTCATAACGAAGCGCCGACCCTCGGTCGGATATCATAGTATCACCGCCACGTAAAATAAATGTATTAATTTAAAAATTCCAGCGTTCACCGTCAAAGCGCAGCGCTCAGCCTCGAGTCAGTTATCGGACCATGGACTTAGACCATAGTATTCCAGCTTAGTATTTTTTCGATTCTCGTCCCTAGTACTCTACGATCGACACTATGAGGTGTCGACCACCGAGGTCGCAAGTCACGGGATCGCAAGTCACGGGAAATACCTCCACGAAGACGGTATTAGATGAAATTTGTAGATGTTGTGTCCTTTTAAGAAACGTACTTGTCTAATAAAAAAGAAGCAGTTTTAAACGTTTTAGATCGTTTATAATGTGAAAGTTTATATTCGGCGTTTTTTTAGGCATATTTAAATGGCTCACATTTATTGCCAAAACTCAAAACCGAAATTTCATACTATATATTTTAAAGACTGTGGTCTGTACTAAAACAATTTTTAATTAAAGTTGATTAATTGGCAACATCGCACCTGAAGCCACGAAATCATATTCCACTTATCAACTTTGCAAAGGCGTACTAAAATAATATTTTAATTATTTATTTAAACACACAAGTAATTCTATAAAAATTTTAATCTAAGACCGATATAATTATTAAATTATCAGGTGTGATTTGAGAGGTATCTTATAGTTTTCAAACAAAATAAAGTAAAACTTTATTGTTATTATAGAGTGCCTAATACATTACTTCAAAAAACAGAAAACTTTTTTTACATTAGACTAACATTAGTAATATAAAACTAAAATTGTGAAATTTTATATGAAAGTTAAAATATGAAAATAAAAAAAATAAAAAAAAATAAATAAATATATTATTAAAAAAAAAGAATACATAAAAAAAATAAACCAAAAAAAAAATAAAACAAAATTAAAAAAAAACACACACAAAAAGGGGCCTAAACCTCCGAGGTGTTAAACCGGGTTTATGCCCTAGCGTTGTGTTAAAAAAATATTTATATAATTTAATAGTTATTAGTAGATAGTATTAATATAATTTATTTTAATATTAATTAATTTTAATAATAATTAATTAATTAATAGTATTAATATAATTTATTATAGCATGTAGTATTTTTTGTCTAATTCTTCAACAAAAACAAAAAAACGCTCACTAAAATATATATATCTAGGTACCTGTATATTATGTGAATTACTATTCATCATCATTATTATCAAATATGTTATAAATATTCATAAATATAATGAGTATAAGAGCGTAATCTTAGAAGCGTAATTTTAGTTCGGCTAATGGATTAAGTTCACAGTCAAAAGAAACCAACGTTACACACACATACATTAGACTAAACAATCTGAAATTTTAACATAAGATCTCATTATTACACTTTACTCTTTATTTATAGAATTGCTGTGTGCTGGAAACGTTATATTTGTGTTTTTTAACTTGTTGAAAGTTTCCTTTTGCTAAACTATTACCATGTAAATGTGTGTATGTGGTAGTGCATCTTTTTGTTCATCATCAACATATAACGGGGGTCCTACGGCGATTGCCGCATTTCAGACTCCATCTTTTCCTATCTCTCCAATCTCCCTCTTCTAAGCCTCTAGATTGCATTGTTTTTGTAACTTGTCTTCTCCAAGAATTTTGTGGTCTTCCCCTTTTTCTTCTTTCTGGCGGAACATACGTTAAGGCTTTCTTTGGCCACCGCTCCTTCTCCATCCTCATCACGTGACCATACCATTGTAACTGCCTTCCTTGTATTCTATCTGAAAGAGTATCTCTAATTCCTGTACGGTTTCGTATTTCCTCATTCCTGATTCTTTCCATTCTCGATACTCGACATGACCTACTAAGATAATCCATTTCCACAACGTCCTCGTTCATTCTTTGTCATCGTCCAACATTCGGCACCATATGTGGCAATCGGTTCTACAATTGCTCTATATACACGAAGTTTGGTATGCATCTTTATTTTATTAGACCACAGTAATAAATTCAGTATTCGGATGTATTTTTTTCCCTTGGGTTATTCGGTTTTGTACATCTATCTTAACTCTGCCATCTGCTGATAAATATGATGCTTCCTAGATATTTATACTGGTTGCAACCTTTTATGACTGCGTTTTCAAGCCTCAGATCTGTGGTATTTCCTCCAATTTTTAAATATTCTGTTTTGTTTATGTTTACAGTAAGTCCCCATTTGGCATACTGCTCAAATAATTTTCGATTCATACGATTTATATCTTCCTCATCGGTTGCAACCACCACCTGATCATCTGCAAACAACAATGTATACAGAGTTTCTTGTCCCACTTCGATGCCGATAAATCTACATTTATTTCTCCAATTCCTCCATGCTTCTTGGACGTATATTTTAAAGAGTGTCGGTGACAAACAGCATCTTTGCTTTAGGCCTTTGGTGACTTTAAATTCATTTGAAGGTCTGGTTCCAATTTTTACACAACTAACTGCATTTTCGTACAGTATCGCTCGGATATACGTCGAATAAAATCCGTACCTTTCGAGGACCTCAAACATTTTCTTTAACAGGACACTATCATATGCTTTCTCAAGGTCTATAAATACCAAATGGGTCTCTCTACTTCTTTCGACACGCTTTTCAATTATTTGTCGTAGGATAAATATATTATCAAGGCAGGATCTCCCGGTACGAAAGCCGCTTTGTTCTTCAATATCAACTCTTTCAACCCTCTTCTTTAATATTCTGCCGTACAACCGGCCCACAGAGCTCGTCACACTAATACTTCTATAATTGGCATTTTTTTGTTGATTTTAATAAATCCTCGAAGTATGAAATAAAGAGAGCACAAGGACTTGTTAGAAGAGGACTCAGATTGTCAAAATTATGACTCACTTTATACGCACTAATTTACATTGTTACGGGGGCAAAATTTATGAAACTCTGTTACTACTCACTTATTTATATTGGAGAAGCATACACGATAAAAATGACCCCGGTAAAAATTTACTTCTGACATTTAACATTGTTATCGTTAGCTTCTAGTTCAATTTGTAGATAAGTAAACTCTTAATAGAAAATTGTCCGACTATAGTAATAGTCGGTATAATCTATAGTAACAGACTATAGTAGTAATATAGTAAATCCCATTGTGGCCGGTCAATGAAAGTAATAAATGGTATTGATCTCATGAGAATCGTAAAAAATGGTAAATATCGCTAAATGTTTATTTATTTAACACCTTTATAGAAACTTACTTCATTTGGGGTAAAAAGCAAATAATGGATACGAAAGCTGCTTTCTTTACTTTTAAAACGCATTGTGATTTATGTCGATAGAATACTTTCATCAAAAGATATCGAATTTTTACCGTCGAGTTGATACAAATTTTATTTAAAATTGATTTCGCGAGCATAGCTAACATTGAAAATCACCGGTCGCTTCAAGTGTTGTTTATAAGAGAACCATTTATTCTACCCAAAAATTGCTAATAAACATTCTTGTTCAAAATTATCTTATGCGTACAAATTCTTAGTAAATCGATTTTTCCGTTTTTACCTCTTATCAGTGGGGAATTAAGGGGAATCCAGGGGGTAAAAGTGATAAATTTTTTGCATTTCTTTTTGGGGTTCCAAAATTGACATTCTTTGCGAAATTCAATTTGTTCGGGGATTTTTAGAGGTTCCGTGGCATTTTCGTCTCTGACAAGTGGATTATAATAGTAATTAACTTTTGAGAAAAAAAAATTATTTCGTTCATTTACTTTTTAAATCAAATACGCTGTTCATGACGTATATGCATGTTTTTTTTTAAATCAAATTAAAGCTATTTTTTTATCATTAAGATCATATAAGGATTCCTGAGAAAAATGCTCACAAATTAGGGTTTCCAGCTGTTAAAAACGCAAGGTATCAGAAATAGAGTAAAAGACAGCAAGGGCGCAACGTTAATGTTTTAAAGTATCAGTTGTATGAATTTTTAAAGCATACGTCGAGAGATATATGGTAATATACATTATTATTAATTGTCAAACCAGTCTCGTTGCGCGCTAACTCTAATTTACTTTATATTTGGTACCTCGTGTTTTTCACAACTGTGTACTTTGCGACCAATTTTCCTCATGCAACCTTAAATCAAATACGCTGTTCATGACGTGTATGCATGTTTTTTTTTTAATCAAATTAAAGCTATTTTTTTATTAATAAGATCATATAAGGCTTCCTGAGAAAAATGGTCACAAATTAGGGTTTCCAGCTGTTAAAAACGCAAGGTATCAGAAATAAAGTAAAAGACAGCAAGGGCGCAATGTTACTGATCAGTTGTGTGAATTTTTAAAGCATACGTCGAGAAATATATAGTAATATACACTATTGTCAATTGTCAAACCAGTGTCGTTGCGCGCTAACTCTAATTTACTTTATATTTGTTACCTCGTGTTTTTAACAGCTGGCTACTTTGCGACCAATTTTTCTCATGCAACCTTATATCGTATATTATTTAAAAATTAAATAAACGAACTTAAATTTTTGTTCCAAAATTAATTACTATTAAATGAATTAAAAATATTTGCGACCACTTTTTGACTAACAACTTATTATCAATGTATTCTAATTTTAAATGTATATAAAAATGTGATTTTGATTAACTACGTTATGAACGTCGTGATCCTGCAGTGGGTCTTATATTATAGGGTGATCCATTTAAAATAGTTGAGACATTTTTAAGTACGCGTTTTGAATGACCTTGAATTTTAAAATATC